TCTTTAGGATTGTAACCTTGACCATGGCAATGTTGGTGCAAATTTGAATTTCAAAGATGATTTTATCTTGTCAAATAGCTTGATGTTGTGGTTGAAAACAGCATTGGTGTCAGCATCTGGAAAGAAAGAAAAAACAGGAACCAACCAGCTGTTGACAGTTGTGAAGAGCATAGTTTCATCACCTGAACCTGATACTATCAGTGCCATTGATGACTTACCTTAGAAGTTACTAAATATTTTCAGTTGTGCCAAAAAGTGACAAAGTTCATTTACTTCCCTTCATGATGACTTGAAGTTCAGCTTGATCAACTTTCCATAAATTTGTGGATTGACAAATGTAAAAGTGACCAAATGCAGGAATTATCTGAGAATGCCTGAATTTTAATTGAGTTTGCAAACATAATTGTAATTAAAAGTTAAGGACACATAATTCAAATGTAAATGCATTGAAATAACTGCTGTCAGCATAGATTTGATGTTTTACATACATATATTATTTCAGCGATCAACATTTGAAAAGCAACTTAAAGAAATTTGTATTTAATTTCTATTTAATAAATTATATTTTACTTTATGGGCTGTGGTAGAAGAACAAAAATTCCCAAAATGCTTTCAAAATTTTCTAAGATAAGTCAAACTTTTCACATTTCTTTGTTTTCTCCTATTTTTTGCAGTCTATCCCAGTAACCATGTCAACAACATCTGTAGCATGTGGGGAAACTTCCACTTCAAGACATTCGATGGAGACGTGTATCAGTTCCCAGGCATGTGCGAGTATAACCTGGTGTCTGACTGCCAAAGCCTCATTCGCCAGTTCTCAGTTCACGTGAAGAGAACAGAACACAGCACTGGCCCAAACATCAGCAGGGTGTCGATTACCATCAATGACATTGGCGTTGAGTTGACCGAGAAACAGGTCGCAGTCAATGGAGAAAAGTACGATTCTGGGGAACCCAACCAACTGCTAAAGGCTTAAAAATTTATTCTGTTTGGTCAGTCTTTCATTTGAATCTTTTCTCTTGTTCAGAGTAATGCTGCCCGTGCATGTCGCAGGGATCCTTGTGGAAGAGAACGCAATTTACATCAGACTGTATTCCAAAATGGGCATCACTGTCATGTGGAACAAAGAGGATGCCGTTATGGTGAGTTTATAGGCTAGTCTGGCTCAACATGAGCTCAAAACAACTCTTATGAAAGTACATCTTTAACCAGGGCTGCCAACTCTCAAGAATCAAAAGATATGATTCATGCAATTCACACTTTTCTCACACTCTCATGCCACACCGCCATTTTCCCACGCAATGAAAACCACCCTAAGTTGAAAATGTAATATATCGGTGAAGCAGATTTGGTAAACTCTCCAGTACATATTTGTGTTTGCGCTCTGGACAACATCAAAAGTTTCTATTTTCAACTTGTTTTTGTAGCATTAAGCAAAGTAGCCAATCACATACATATCTGTTGATTCTTGAGCACCTCTGATTGGCCATTCCATTCAAATGAGTGAGAATTCACTCACGGCTAAACGCCAGATTTTGATTGTTTTTTT